TATAGAAAAAATTTATTATTTAGTGATATATTTATTTGTTTTATTAATAAAAAATATATTTATTTTCTTTAACATATTATTTATTATCAATTATTTAATTTAATATATCTAAAAATAAAAAATTTGAAAAATAAAAATTCAAAGTAAACTTTTTAATCTTAGAATTTATAAATATAATTTTTTTTAAAGTATTCATATTATATAAAAATTTATTATCTTTAATAAAGATAATATTATCATTACTAAAATTTTATTTAAAATAATTATTAAAATTAAGTATTATATATATAATTATATTAGAAATAATTTCAGAATTTATTAAGTTCTATAATCTTATAATTCTATTTTATATAAAGTATAAATATAAATATATATAATATTATTAATAGTTATTGTTTATAAAATTTTTATGCTTTTAATTTAGTTAAAAAAAGTTGTTATATTTTTATTTAATATTTAAACAAGCTATAAAACTTTTTGGTATTATAAAATATAAGATATTCTATAATAATAAAATCTTTTTTTTTTAAGTTTATTTTAGTTTTTGATATTATTAATTAAATGTAATAAGGTCTTAATTTTAATCACTTCCATATTATTAAGCAAAATTTTTTTGATATCTATACATAATATAATAATATTATACCAATTTAGTGAATTTTAATCTAATTTAGATTACAGTATATATATAAAAAATTGTTTATCAGATATCAAAATACTTGTATATGGTTTTTTTATTGTGCAAAGCTACCGCACGTTAAAATAAAAAAAAAATGTATATGGTTTTTTTAATAAAATTATTTATATGTTATTGGCATTTTTTATCGGAACTAAAAGCGTTATATTTTATATAAAGATTGGGTAATAATACTAATATACAATCTTTCTAAAGGAAAAAAATCATGTGATTTAAAGTCTATCAATAATAGTATTTTGATGGTAGAATTTTCAAGGAAAATTTATTCCTGTGAAAATAATAAAAAGTTATTAAGAATTCAAAATAATGCTAACATTTTAATGTCAAATTCTCTAATGTCATCAATAAAGTACGGTTTAGCTATATTTCCGAACCATCTTCCACATTTTCATTCCTTTCCTCACTACTGCTCCTACCATCTTCGCTCTCAAATTGTATAACAGGACCTTCTTTTTGTACTTGTTTGGAGTGCGTTAAATCTTTTAAATCGTTCTTTCGACCACGATCGTTCGATATTGAGATTCCTTCTAAGCAAGTTTCGGAAACAGTACTACTATGATTGCGAATGCTTGATGATATTGATTTCTTTTTACGAAGTTTTGGTGTTGTTTTATTTTTTGTCTCTCCCTCTTTACCAGTAGTTCGTCTTAACATAGCTGTAAGCAATGATATCGAAGAGCCTGAGTTTGATGGCTTGTTAACATTATTAATTGGGGATTTGTGGTATTGTGAACTATTCGAAGAAAGTAATGCTGGTGAAGAATTAGGTGATCCATAATTATTTGTGACTGCATGAACTTCCTGTAATCCTTGAAGATTTTCAATACTTGTGTTGCTTCCGGTTTTCTTGACACTTTCTCTCATCGCCGAAAGCCATTGTGAAGATGATCTTTCTTCTGAATTTTGTGATTGATTCGAAAATATTTCCTTCAAACGATCAGAAGCAGAACTATCTCCAGAAGAACCGAGAACACTTTGAACAGTAGATAATGTTGTTCCGTCAACTGGACTTAACGTTAACGCACTACTATCCAAATCTTGATGTTTGTCGGACAACACTGTATCAAACGATAAAATAACAACGCTGGGATGAGTTCTCCGTTTTTGTAAGGAAAGTCGTCTTGTTTCAAACTGAAAGGAACCATGGTTATGTTTTTGTCTTGTATTTAACCTTAACTTGTGAAGTGTTGGATGTTTGATACTTGCAGATTGATCTGTCAATCGTTCTTCCTCTGGTAAAAGATTTTCCATCTTATTTAATGTTTGAAAAATTTCATGTACCATCTTATGAGTTTTTTCCACTTGTTTCATAAATACGTTAACTAAAATCAATTATATCAATCAGCTAACTTTCAAAAGGAACTTGTAAATGTAAATAATTGAGATATGTCTCACCGATGCCCATTTGTTCGTAATTAGCTTTTGCTTGTAATTGTGAGGCGATCATTGTTTGATTTATTTCCACACAATATGTATCCACTGATTTGACTGTTTCCATAACTATTCGCTAAATCATAATCAAATAAAAAAATAATGTATTAAGGCAACCTTTAAAATTGCAAACGAAAATGGTGAATATGTATATTAACTTACCTGATCTTCGCATATTTCTTCAACACATTTTTTTATACGCGATTGATATGTTAAAGTAAAATTAAATATAGAATCATATCCAAATGAAGCTAACAATAAAAAAAAAAAATCAAAAATCAAAAAATGAATTATATGAAATAAGAAGTTAATAAAATTCCCTATAGACGTACGTTCTCTAACTTGGTCCGAAGATGCTGATGCTGAACCCCATAAACCACTAAGCGTGAAACCTGTCTCGGGATGAGGTTTAATCAAAGGTTCAAACTATAATTTGTCAATTATCTCTTAATAGAGACTCGTAAAGTAAATATTACTTAATATCTCTGGAAATATTTATTACCCTTGGAATTTTATCCAATTTTGAAATTTCTAGATCCGAATCGTCTTTTACATTAACATTATTAACTGTAATGACACCCTAATGGAATTGAATGGGAATTATTTTTCAAATGTTTAATGGTAATTCATAAGTAAATTGAAATGCATACATTCTCAATATCTCGTTGTATTATTTTTGTACGATCTGTCTCTTTCCCATTTTTATCATTTTCATTTGTAATCAAATTTTCTTGAGCTCTTAATTGGCATGACGCATTATTTTCCAACGTTTTTCGATCATTTAATTCATTTTTTTGAATTTCACTCATTTTTTAACTTATTGAAGTAATTTATAATTCGATTATAAAAGAAGGTCTTCTGTGTTACAAATTTTGGGTTTCATGTTACATGAATTTTAAAAACAGGTATTTTTAGTTAATTAGTTCCGATTGAAATACTATCTAAAAATAATAATAATTTTCTATTATTATTATCTAAATCGTTACTTTTCATCTTCAAATAAAGAATTTATTTTCTAAAAAGTAATGTATAATATTTTAATTGCTGTAATAATGTTAATTTTCTAATTATTTTTGTTAAAATTATATTATAAAGATATAAATATATAAACTAAATAATTTTTGATTGTGAGTTTTATTTATGATTTTTTATTATTAATTTTAAGTAATATATTATTAAATAAAACGATAGTATAACATATATTTTATCAACTTAATCAGTAAATATTTTAAGTTTATTAATTTTAAAAACAAGTTTTAAAAAATTTATTATAATAATTTCAAAAATTCATATATGTTTATTAATTAAATAATAAAGTTTTTTTTTTCATAATAAATTTTATAAAATAACATCATAATTAATATAAAATTCTAATATAAATATGTAACTTTAGATTTTATTATATATAATAATGATGGAATTATTTGTTAAAACTAAGTTATAAATATCTTTTGGAAATTTAAATTCTTTTACAATAAGGTTTTTATTTATAATAAATTATTATTTATATTAAGTATTAAAAAGATAATATTAATTAATTACTAAATAATATATATAAATGAAAATTTGAAATAATTATTTATATAATGTTAAATATAAAAAACTCGTATGATCTTGCACACTTATTTGTTTAATCTGATGTGATACTAATCAAGTTAATATTCTATGTGATATGATCCTGTTTATTACCTCTAAATAATAATATAGGTAGGAATTGAATCCTTGATATATGTTGATCGTTCGGAAAAAATTACATCTATTGTATAAGGTTACAAGTGATAGCAAAGTACATAAATTTACAAATAACAACATGATCACATATTTTAATGAAAATAAAAAGAATTCAATCATTGTTATTTTTCAATGAAATCAAATGCTATCAGTTGTCCTGTCTTTGAATATTAAATTTCAAAGTTTCTTTTTGACGCGTTCCATTAAGCTTTGAGACATCTACATGAACTTCCTTTATAACATCACCACGTTCAGTCAAGATTTTCTTTTGACCCTCATTTTCTTTACCTTCACTGGTAATTACGCCTTCTTCACCGTTACCACCATCAGAATTAGTGTTAGCACCAAATATTTTTTGTCTTGCTAGATTATATTCTGCTTCACGTTCTGCTAGGGATTTTTGTTTATTTGATAAATCCATGGAGGAATTTGAGAAAGTATATGAATCACCAGCGAAGGTGGCATATGATGCTAAATGGGAAGGATGTGTAGTAGTGGTTGGTCCTGGATTCTTTGGACGCTTTAAAATACGAAGCTATTAAAAAATTTTTTGAATTAGATCCAGTTTTTAACAAGGAATTCAAATATTTATTAAATCGATAAATTAAATACTTGTGGTACATATTCCGTGCGGGCTGTATCCACCCGAATAATTTCTGGCTGTGCAAACGCGTTTCTGTTAATTTATAAAGTTTGAAAAGAATGAAAATATTAAATCAAAATACATGATGTTTTGATTCGAAATTAAAATGAATTATTCATACGCTTCTTGCCATAATTGTTTATTCTTTTCATGTTCATCGACAGCCTTACTGGGTTTTGGATCTAACTAGCGGAAACAAAAAATGATCAATAAGGGCTAACAGAGTTGAATTGTAGTGAAACGTGGAAAGAGAATAAAATTAATAAAAATAAAAAATGGATCGTACGCCAGCATCGGCAGCAGCTTCCCAATCGTCCCAAGGATCATCGTCCATTGTTGACCTGAGAGAAGTAGAACTGCGGAATATCAAAAAATCAAAAAAAAAAAAAATTTTAAGAATTTATGTATACATATGCATGTAATGCATGCAATTATGTAAATCATAAGATTGCATGCAGATTAGCACAGACCCCCGTTACCGTTTTTTTTTTCGCCTCAATGTCGAGCAAAGTATTGTCCTTTAATATAACGCAACAATTTCTGCTTAATACTTGGAAATATGATTGATATCTATTTACATTTTGATATGATTAGGAAGTTTCTAATAATAAACTCGAAGTTTCAAAATTAACATTTGGAGCGGCCGTCTTTAATGGCTTGCATAATCATATCGAAGAAGATTGGCCGTCATTATCTGTTCGAAGGGCCCTTGAGTTGGGTAATTTCTATTTCGATTATATATTGTTTTTTTGTCGATTTATTTTCCATACTTATTGAAATTTTAATTAGACATTAACGCATTTGATACTAGTCCATATTACGGCGATAGTGAAAACATACTTGGTTCTGCCCTTTACAATTTGCGAGAGGAATTTCCTCGATCTAGTTATTACATATTCACCAAAGTAGGTCGATACGGCCTGAAAGATTTTGATTACACCGCCAAACGAATTCGACAAAGTGTTGAAGAAAGCTGTAGGCGATTACACACCGATTATTTGGACGTTGTATATGCGCATGATGTAGAATTTGTTAAACTTGAAGATATTGTTGAAGAAGGTGGGGCTTTACCTGAGTTATTTAAGCTAAAGGTAAAAGGCAAATATTTACTTTAATGTCAATAGAAATCTTTGATATGCTTAAAAAAAGTTGACAATTTGTTTATTTATAAGGAACAAGGAAAAATCAAATATGTGGGAATAAGCGGTAAGGAATAAAGTATATGGTTGAATAAGTATCATTTGACAGAATTAATTTTCCTTGAATTATTTCTAGGATATCCTTTAGATGTTCTTTTGAAAATAGCACGACTTCAATATGATCGCAATCAACCGATTGATGTTATTCTTTCTTATTCTCATTATTGCCTTCATAACATTAAATTATCAGACTATATTCAAGAATTTAATCGCGTTGGAGTTCGTTACATAATGAATGCGTCTCCGCTTAGCATGGGACTTTTGCGTAATAACGGTCCACCAGATTGGCATCCAGCTTCAAATGAGTTGCGACATGCTGTTGCGCAAAGTTCTGCGCTTGCTTCCAGTAATAATTTAAACATTTCTAAATTAGCAATTCTATTTGCTTTAGATTTGAGTGGCATCATTACTACTGTAATCGGATTATCTAATCCAACTGAAGTTGATGATGCTATTTCATTTCTTAAAGAAGCGCAAGCGAGACAAAGGGGAGAGGCGGTAACTCCAGAAATTGAAAAGAAGGTCTTGACCGAAATTCATCAAATTCTTGAACCTTATTTCAATTTGAGTTGGGATTCTCCTCCAAAAGATCTTTGATTTAAAAATCATCTTTCCATCTTTAAATAAAATTTAAAATACATTACGACTAGATTTAAGTCATGTGATTGAAAATTTAATTAAATTGTCACCTGATTAGATCAGGTGCCTAAACGAAATTGTTAAAGATTTTTTCTTTATTATTAACTTAGTTTCCAAATAGTTACACGAGAATAAGAAGTGCATCTGCATTTGGAAATATGTGTGTCCATGTCTTGTTGATATTAAGCGCAAACATAATTTTTTAAATATTTATTTTTCGAAGCTCAATATGTCAAAACGTCGCGTACCAGTTGCAATTAACAACTCAACAGAAACAAAGTCATCACACAAAGATAGTATGTCGTCGAACGGTTCCATCAACGGAATGAAAGTTGGTAGGTAAAAGTTATATATTTATGAAAATGGTTTCTGCAAATAACATCCATTTCCGCTGTAGAGAAATTTAAGACTCTAGCCTTCGTCTGTTATGCTGGAAACTGTACCGTTCCTATTTATTTCCATTTAATTATTAAAGTCAATTGGGGTTGACTTTGATAAACGACGATGTTAATAATATACTAATGCTCGTACATCCGTTTTCACCACTTCTAATAGAAAATGATCCTCATAAATTGATCAAGGTAGTCGCTACGGATGGAAAAACGGCAGAGGAATTTGAGTTAGCCTATACAGTTACAAAAGTAATTGGAAACGGTTCTTTTGGTGTGGTGTTTCAAGCAAAACTAGTTAGATCTGCCGAAGACGCTGCTATCAAAAAAGTACTTCAGGATAAACGGTTTAAGGTAGGTTAAACTATTGAACATCTTGAAATTACTTGAGAATATCAAATAGCTAATTACTTTTCAAGTACAGTAATGTTATCAAAATTCTTTCAAAAAATAATAAACAAATTTTTTGTAAGTAGATTATTTTATATTCATATTCTCTCTCTCTCTCTCTTTTGATCTAGAATCGTGAACTTCAAATTATGAGATTGGTGTCGCATCCAAACATAGTGGGTTTGAAATCCTTTTTCTATTCTAATGGTGAAAAGGTATGTAAACGATTCATGCGAAGAAATATTATAATATATAAAATAAATGCATATTAGTTAATCTGTAAAAATTTATATAATTCTTTTAACAATAATTACAGAAAGACGAGGTTTACCTTAACCTTGTACTTGAATATGTTCCTGAAACCGTTTACAGAGCATCACGTTTGTATGCTAAAAGCAAACAAACGATGCCTATGCTTCATATAAAACTCTACATGTATCAACTTTTCCGGTCACTTTCCTATATCCATTCTCTTGGAATCTGTCACCGCGATATTAAACCACAAAATTTGTTATTAAATCCAACCACATGCGTATTGAAATTATGTGACTTTGGCAGTGCAAAAATCTTAGTAGAGGGAGAACCAAATGTTTCATATATCTGTTCAAGATATTATAGGGCGCCCGAGTTGATCTTTGGCGCTACAAACTACACAACAAACATTGGTAATTAATCATTTTTTTTTCTTTCCTTTGTAATTATAAATATATAACCCCAATCATTTTTTTATTTATTTGTATAGATGTTTGGTCAACAGGTTGTGTTATGGCTGAATTGATGCTTGGACAGCCCTTGTTCCCTGGAGAAAGTGGTATTGACCAGTTGGTTGAAATTATCAAAGTTTTGGGAACACCAACGAGGGACCAGATTAAAACCATGAATCCAAATTATATGGAACATAAATTTCCTCAAATTAAACCGCATCCATTTTCAAAGGTGAAGAATTTTTGCTAGAACCTTGTACACAATTTTTACACATTGTTATTTACAAATAAGATTTTATGTCTTGATAGGTTTTCCGAGCCAGAACGCCTCCTGAAGCAATCGATCTTATATCCCGTTTATTGGAATACACACCATCCAATCGACTAACAGCAATTCAGGCAATGTGCCATCCATTTTTCGATGAGTTACGAAATCCAGAGACAAGACTTCCAAATGGGAAAGATTTACCTAAACTCTTCAACTTTACAAAACAAGGTTTGAATCCAATTTTTTTCTTTAATTTTCTAAGTTAGCAATCGAATATAAAATTAATGACTATCACTAATTCTTTTTTTTTTTTTAAAAAAAAATATTATCTAATATAGAATTATCCATCCGTGAAGACTTAATTTCCAAACTTGTGCCACCTCATGCTGAGGAAGAACTCCTTTCTCGTGGAATCGATATTCATAATTTCACCCCATTGTCACAATCTCAAATGCGCGCAACTTTGGATTGAAAATAAATAATAATTTTAGACTTTAAAATATTAAAATTCTTTTTTTCTTTTTCCTTTTAAAATTTGGAGAGACAAAAAACTCAACCCCTTACTGCCTTTATTGCCTTTAATTGTTTCATTTATTATTATATATATTTTTTCATTATTAATTAGATTAGAAATTTTTAATTGTTTTCTTTCCCTCTATATTCTTTGCTGCATAGGTTTTTTTTGGTGGTATTAATGATTGCTTCACAAATTCTAATGATCACAAAACAGTTTGTGGGTGTGAATAATCTATTTTTATTATTTTTATTTTTTATTACTTTTTTAGCAGATTGGGTATTTATAAATATATTGATCTAATTATTTTATATATTTAGTTTTTCATATCAATTAGTATTATATCAACATCCTATAAAACAAGAAAACGTTTGTAATTAAGGACATTTTTTAAATTGTTGTGGTCATTAGTATTTATTAAGTGAAGGTTTTATAGTTATTGTTTGGTTTTATGTATTCTTTTTTTTTTTGTCGTACATTGTTACAATTTGCATTAGTTTTATTAGTTTTGATATTCAGTTTGTATTTTTTTTTTAAAAAAAAAAATTTCTTTTTTTTTTATTAACTATTTTTTTTATTTTTATTTTTTATGATTAAGCCTTATACGTATACTTGACATTTTAACCATTTCTTTTTCCTTCCTATATATAATATTTTTCCTGTTATCATTTTCATCATTATTTATATATTATAGAAATAACGCGAAGTAATTTATAACGTCATAATTGTAAAAGATTTTGGACATTCTAATAGGAATTTTTTTAAATTGTGATAAGATACTGGAATAAATATACGTTATACCAACTATTTAGGAAAAAAATTAGTAAGTGAAAAAATTATATTTGAAAGGTAAAGGGATAATTTAATATCACGTGACTGGACGTAATCTTTAATAAATAAGATTATCAAAAAAAAATGGCATTACTTTGCCCCCGCTTTTCGTCCTCGGTTCGTTGCTTTCTCTTCTTCCCATTTTTGTTTTTAATGAATATCGTATACTTTTAAATTAAATTTGTTTTGGTTTAAAACTTAAATGTAAGAATAGCAAGCACAGCAAACATGTCCACCTCTTTTAGGTTACGAAAGTTATCAAAGTGTAGTTGTATTTCTTCTTCCTTCACATTGTTGAATAGGAGGAAAGTAATACCTTTCATATTACAAACTCAAAATAGGTATATGTTACGGGTAAATAATACTATCATACAAACTTATAATAAAAATATTCCCTTAAAGAAATGTTTTAAGTTGCATTTTTTAATATTTAACACTTTTATTTTATTTTTATTTTTTTTTTAAAAAAAAAAAAGTATCGTAACATTAGTTCCACTTCACAAATAAACGATGAAGAAAAATCAACCGTTACTACTGCGGATATAAAGAATAAAACTAAAAAGAAAAGTAAATTTGAAGGATATTGGTTGGATGGATTCCAAACTCCGAGCCCAATATCAAAAAGAAAATTTCCACCTTTTGTACAAAATATGCTTGTACGTTTAGCTAAAGCACTTGGTTATTATGATTTACCAGTACAAGCTATAAGAATTACGAGAGAATTATATCAGATGTGTTCAAAGCATTATGATGAAAATAAAGAATTTTATATTAATGGTAAGTGAATTAATTGATCCATTAATAATTAAAACCTTTTCATTTATATATCTCTGCTTATTGTATTCATTGTTAGCTTGTGGATTACCTGATAGTTTTCAAACTTGGTTTGCTGTGACTTTATTACATATTTGGATGTTAATGGTTAGATTTAGAGTTGAAAATGAAGGAAAAATATTTATGCAACAGTTAGTAAATCATCTGTTTGAAGATGCTGAATGGAGAATGAGAGAAGATTATGGAGTATGTCACTTATATATATATACACACATTATATATTTTCTTTTCTTTTTTTTTTTTAAAAAAAAAAAAAAAAATTATCATACTTATTAATAATTAATTAATTCAATATATATATATATATTTTCTTTTTTTTTTTTTTAAAAAAAAAAAAGATTACTTCAAATAGTATTATCAATTATTATACTAAGGATCTGCTTTCTCAATTTCATGGTGGTGTTATGGCATATGATGAAGGAATGTGTAAAGATGATCCTGTATTGGCTTCTGCTTTATGGAGGTATGTTATCTAACATAATCAAAAACCCGCAACTCTTTTTTGAATTTTTGATTTTTATTTAAAATTTTTATCCTTTTTTTTTTTAAAAAAAAAAAATAATTTAATATTAAGGAATATCTTGATTACAGAGGGATCAGCACATAATATGGCTTGTTTGGTTAAACATGTTAGGCATGAATTACGAAGATTAGATAATTTATCTTACGAATCTATTATTGAAGGAAAAATTCGTTTTAGAAAACCCGAAATTTCATTGTAATATATAAAAGATTATTTTTAGAAAAAAAATTTTTTTTTTTTTTTTTTTTTTTGAATTATACAGTATTGCAGTATTTATTAAACTATACCCTGAAATTGATGGATAAAATTTGACGATTTTTTTTTTAATAATGAATAACAATCGCATAGATATTACGAAGGTTGTACCGGTGAGAGGTAAAAGATGTTTATACTGCAGATTTTCAGTGACCAATAAGAGGAGTTTCTATGTTTCGCACGTGATTGCCATAATTTTGCCCGAAAGGTTAAAAATCTACAAATTTTCCTCATCACATAAAATTAATCAAAAAAAAAAAAAAAAAAAAAAGATGATGCCTCAAAAACAAAAGAAAAGATCCAGGAAACTAAATAAGGAAAGTGATTCTACACAATTAAAGGTTGATGACAATAAAGTGAATAATGAATCAAAAAAAGGCACTTCCCATAATCCTCTCGATGCCTTATCCGATAAATTCATTAATTTAAATGATTTGCAGCAAAAGAATAAAGGTATCCTTCCACAAAAAGGAATATTAGAGTTAGAACTCGAAGCGTTAGTGTTTGAAGACCTTTACAAACCAGAGAGTGAAATAAATCTCAATACTAGGCAATTGGATAATACGACAAAACAAGAAAAATTATCTAGTGAAGACGAGGAGGAGTCTGAAGCGGACAAAGACGACATTCCCGTGAGTTTTCCTACTTATTTAATATCGTGAATAAAATTTTTTTTTTTCCAATTGACTAAACATTAGTTTTATCAAAGTCACATGTTTTCGATACCACACCGCCGGTTCCCTACTCTATCGATACTTTACCTGAAACACGCGTAAATAATGATGAAAGTATCAATTTGGAAGAAATCGATCAAGTTACCTCTCAAGGAGTCGGAACGAAAAATAAAAGTATTGTAATTTTATTTTACTTTATTTTTTTTTTTTTTTTTTGGCGTATATTATTATATCCGATTAATCAAAATATGAATTTGATTTAATAGAGGGAATTGAAAGCGTATGGCAAGATTCCGATGACGAAAATGTCACCGTATCTTTAAAAAGTAAAAATATGTTGAAAAAATTGAGGATGACTGAAGATGATGATTTAATATCCGGGGATCAATATGAAAAGAGATTGAGAAACCAGTAAATAATAATCCTTTCCGATTAATTCTTTTGAACATAATTCTCGGTATTAATAAAATTCTCAAAATTTGTTATTCAATAGATTTGAGAAACTTCATCCAACACCAAATTGGGCTGTAGTGCCTTCAAAACGTAAAAGACAAACGGACAATGAAAGGATGGAAGATTCTGACAAAGACTTATCTGAGATAGATGATGTAGCAGAATCAGGCAAAAACAAGTGGAAATTAAAGGCAAAAAGGCTTGAAATTTATCGGGTGAAAGATGCCAATCAAGCAGCATATTCACAGGTAGTTTATTATTTCACGTTACGTACTTTATAATGTCATAACATGATGCTAACGTTTAATATATTTCATTAGTGTGTAATACAATCATTGAAGTTTCATCCAAATTCACAAGTATTGATGACCGCGGGAATAGATAAGACAATAAAATTATTCCAGGTTTGTTCTTAAATCATTTATTCCAAATAATTTTTTTTTTTTTTAGGATACACGTAACAATTTCTTTCTTTTTATTGTTGACCAAATAAATAAAGATTGACGGCGTTAAAAACCCGAAAATTCAATCGGTATTTTTCAATGATTTACCAATTTTAAAAGCAGAATTTAATCCAAGTGGTTCGGAAATCATTGCAACCGGGCGACGGAAGTATTTTTATATTTATAACATCGAGGCGGGAAATGTAGATAGATCTCAAGGAATATTTGGATCGGAAGATAAAAGTCTTGAAAACTTTTCGATATCCCCTTGCGGAAAATATATTGTATTTGTAGGGAACAATGGTTATTTAACTTTAGTTAGCTATCAAACGAAACAATGGGTTGGTAAATTTAAAATGAATGGCTCCGCCAATTCGGTTGCTTGGTCCAGTGATAGCAAGTATTTGTTTTCAGTTAGCGGTGACGCAGCAGTTTATCAATGGGATGTAGGTGAACGAAAATCTGTGCATTACTTCATGGATGAAGGTGGGTATAACCCCAAGAAAATTGCAATCTCCAGCAATAATAATTTATTTGCCATCGGGTAAGAAAATGTTTAATTGATAATTCGCCATTTATTTTAATAATAAAAATCAAATCCTTTTTTTCCCCTAGTTCGCATTCCGGTATCGTTAACGTTTATGATGGATCTTGTTTGTCTTCAACAAATCCGAAGCCTAAGAAATCTATAATGAACCTAACAACAAGCGTCCACGACATGAAATTCAATCATGACACTCAGATCCTTGGAATCTCGAGCCATTCTAAGCGAGAACAGTTAAAAATGGTTAGTAAAAATAATTATTCTATCGAATACATCATTTCATCTATTACTACATAAAATTAATTACGTTAATATTCATTAGGTTCATTTACCTTCATTCAACGTGTTTCCAAATTGGCCAAATTTGTCAAATCCTTTGGGTATTGTTAAATGCTTTGATTTTTCCCCAAATAGCGGTTATCTTGCTATAGGTAATGAAAAGGGTAAAGCACTTTTATATAAGCTGCGTTCTTATCCAAATGCATAATGGGGAGTAATCTCAGTGATGGTACAGAATTTAAATTTTTTTTTTTTTTTGATTCATATAATTATCAATTATTTATACGTTTTCTAAATTATAAAGCTTTACAATTTGTGTGACAAATCAGTGAATATTTCACTATGCCGAGTTAAATATTCATATCCGCGAAGAGAAAGAGATTATTGATATATTGCAGTGTTAATGTAAGTTGGGCAAATCCTTTAGGAAATGTTGATTTTAACTCTTTCTAATGAATAAAGAAGTGAACAGCAACAAAACCATTCAAAATTGCTTTCCAATTTAGATAATTAGTCCATAAAAATTATAATATTAAAATCTATCCTGAAAAATGTAAAAATAAATTCATCTTGAGTATCTCATAATTTTCCATAAAAATCTATTTTTTCAATAGTATTGCAGCCTGCAATTTTATTTAATAATTAAAATCTTTAATTATTTTAAATTTTTAAAATAATTTATTAAAGAATTAATTAATAAATTAATAAAAAAGTTAAAATTTTAAACTCTTTAAATTTTTTTATTTTACTATTTATAAATATCTGAAATATTAAAATACTATCATTTAATAGGTTTTAATATAAATCTAACAAACCAAATTTTTTTTTTTTGAAATTATTAAATAATAAGTTATTTTAAATATTTAAAGTTAATATATATAATAATTATTATTTTTTAAAAATTTAAAAATAATAATATTAGATACATTAAAATATAACAAATTTAATAAACTTTATTTTATCTTTTATGATTATTAGATATCAAAAAATTATAATTTTTTATTTTAACATATTTGAAATTAATAGTTTTATATTTAAATTATACAACTATTTGTATAAATAAGTAAATATTAATTACTAACTATCTATAAATCTCATTGCATATATTTAGAAACTATTATTTAGTATAGATTATATTTAATTTCAAACTAACTTTATATAGATTTTATCTAGATTTAATAATAAAATTTGAATAAAGGATCATTTTTAGAATTGTCAGGTTCTATTTTTATTATATTATATCAGAATCATTATAATCTTTATCTATTATCAGCAAGATTTAGTAAAACAAACTACATTAATAATTATAAATTATGCAATAAAAATAAATTTCATTAAAATAAAATTTTTCTTATAATTACTGAAATAAATAAATTTTTTTTATTATTTTTATTATTAATATTATAATTTTCTAATATTAAAGTTTATAAATGAATTAGTAAGTAAATTATTTTATAAAATATATAATTAACAGATAATACTATTATATTATTTATTTATTTTTAATATCGATATAACTTAAATAACAATTAAAACATTTAAATTAATATATCAGAATATTATTTTTTTTTTAAAATTTGATACAATTATCACCTTATATATTTTTTCTAATATTATGAATCTTTTCTAACTTAAACTGAATTAAATTAATACAAATTTTAATATCAAATTCTTTTAAATTTACTGTATCTTATTTTATAAGTTCTCTTTACTTAAAATTTGTTTAAAGAAATATCTAAACTAATGATCAACCTTATTCTATAAATATTTAATATGATTCAATTTAAGAATTAAGATGATCAATTTAAGATTATTATCTTGTTTCTCTTAAATCACTGTTTTATAAATTTGCTGTATATTTTAAATTGTTATTATATTGAAAAATAATGTCTTTAATAGTGAAATCATATATATTTATAGTGTCTATTAAATTTTCATAAAGAATTTATTAATATAAGTTAATATTTATACCGCCATTAATCTTACAATAATCATAAATATCACAAAATGTAAAATATCTTATACTATAACTGACTTGTCTCCAAATTTTACTATAAGCTTAATATAATGACCTTTTATTAGTTCTTTAGAATACTTTAATAATACTGCTTCTTATTAAAACTAAAAAATTTTGAATTTTAATTCATTAGACTATATTACTTTTAACTAGTTCTTAACAGTTTAATTTTCATATTTTTTTTGCAAATTATATAAAGATTTTATTAAAGTATAGTATTTTTCTTTTGATTTTTACTACTAACTTATTATTTTAAAGTATATAATGAATAGTAAGTGTTAAAAAATCAAGATTTTCTTTTTCTTGTAATCAGTTTCATACTTTAATAACTGATAAATACCTTTAAGAAATAATAAGATTAACAATTTTTCTTTGTGTTAATTTATTTATAATAGGTAAATAATCTATTCTTACTAAGTTTTTAAAAGAATAAATTTTAAGCTATCTTTTTTTAATACAAAAATTGTAAAAGTGTAATTTTTTAAGTCTTTATTACTTCTTTTATTATATATCTATTTTGTAATAAAAGAAGAA